ACATTGGTTATGCCATTTAAAACCCCAATAAAAGAATACTCACGTAAGTAAACATATTTATTGTCAGTTATAATTCTTAACTCTGAAGTCTCCCATGAAAATGCTTTCCTCATCTACAAATGACTCAAGAACAGTGCCTTGTCTATCCTCACCTTCTATATGCACTGCAGCATTTCAGTACACAAGATGACCATATTTATTAAACTCTAAAAGGTCACTACACACTGCTGCCACAAAATCAACTTTGTGTGAAACAGATGACATTTCTAGTACAAACACAATATTCAAGTCACTACAGGGATAAACGTGTGCCAGCTGCTTTTCAAAGCAAACCCCTTGTTTACAAAAAAACAGCAGACACAGCAAGAGCCAACACAGCACTGAGAATTAGTCACAGAACCTCATCCAAAACAGACTTTCTTTTCAGAGGAACTAGGAATGTCACTAAATACATATCTGGATTACCCATAGAGAGTAACTTCTATCATGCTGTCTCAAAACTCATGAGCTCATGCATGCTTGTTGCTAAAATACCTTGTTTTGTCATAAAGCCGGCATTTTTACTTGATTTCCTAGTGTTGCAGCAACTCGTCTTTCCATTAATTTCTAGAGCTGGCAAAATGTTTCCAGAACCTTATTCAATACACAATGGATACAGTTTGGACCAGAAAATACTGAAGAGTTTTGCATAAGCAGTTACGCAAAAGCAATCAAAACTGGTACAAGGCAGACGTGAACACACCTGCTCCATTACAAATGGCATTTACATGAAGCTTACTGAAATCCTGCTGAAATTATTACTATGCTTGACGTTTTAGTTAAATCACAAGTTTTAATCTGCTTTAACTGTCTTGGCTACATCCCCAAATACGGAATATCTTTGACTCGCATAAGTTGATGTTTTTATGAGAAACAGAATGCTGATTTCTGTTTCTCTTCACACGGTTACACACTGTTTAGATTTCAACATTTTGAAGTTAGAAGATGGTCCAGGAACTTACTCCATACAAAACAATCATCCTTTTGAATTATTCGTTTGTTTCAAGCTGAATTTGCATGCAAGTTTTGGAAATTCAACTGCATCAAGGCATGCTTCCTTTGTTTGCAAGGCAACTGGCCTTATGTGATCATGCCATCTTGCTGCCTCTCCTACAGCTCTTGGATGTATGAGCTTATTTCAACTCAACAGCCAGGTACAGGCATCAAACCTTCCACAGGCTATGGAAGAATCCTTTGACCTCCCATCATCAGCTGGGTGCCACAGCACAAACCTTTGGTGTGCCAGCTGCAGCAGCACATCACCACGTGAGGAAACCAAGCCGAGATAAAACCCTCCCTCTTGCCTAGCTGGCAGCCCAGGAAGGTAAGCAGGCAACACAGGAATAGAGGGAAAGGAGGAGGAAGAGGAGGAGACAAAACCTGGAGGGTGTTAGGAAGGCAACAGCGAAGATGGGGAAGCAAGGGGTGCCACAAAGGTGTGGCAAGGGGAATGACCAAAGGGGTCATGGAAAACAGAGTATGTTTGCAGCAGACATGATCAGAGACCCAAATACACATTGAACTAGACTTTGTTAGCTCATCTGCTCTCATAACTTTATTAGGAACATAAGAGTAATTTACACATTCTGTATTCGTAACACAAAAGTGAATTTAACACAAGTCCTGCATTTGAAACCATCAGATTGAAGATTTACATAGAGTAATTTTTCAAGCTGCTTCTGGTCCCCATCTCTTACAGAAATTTTAGAACTAAGAGGTCTCATCATCCCAATTTAATTTGTTTTCAAAGACAGAAAACAAGGAAAACTTGTTTTTTTCCCCCAACTCCTGGTTTCCCAGCAGTGAATTAGCCAAATAAATAAGCTGGGGGGAGGAGTGGAGTATATGTCCCTGAAGAAACTAGTGCTGATTTAGCATACCAAGAAATGCTGACCAATGACTTCCATGGGTCATGTTTGTGGTTTATAAAATGTGAGTTATTTTAGTAAGTAGTAGTAAGTTCAGGCCCTGAGACAGCAGTAACTTCAGATGTAATTTGAACAGACTTTGTTGTTGTAACTGAATAAAATATGGAAAATTATACGTAAACACAAAAGGCATTCAACTGAAAAAACCCAAAGTTTTATCTCTTCTTTGGAAATGTTTTCTCTGCTACTTCCAGATTCTCTTTCAAAGCAGGTTAGTCAGCAGTGTTGCACAATAAGTTGTCCAGTGCTGATGATATTAAGTATGGCAACAAACCATATGAAAAACACATTCCAGATTTCTGAAAGCACCACTGCTCCAACCCAAGTCAGCTAGTCCACTCCTCATTTAATAACCCCAGATTAAACTGCTTATCATATTAACCAGTCAGCCATTTCATGAACACAGACACAGATCTATAGCTTTTTAATGATTACTTGTAGTCTTAGGGTTTACTGATAGAAAATTTTCATTAAGACAAACCAAATTAATGCCACTTCCATTCTGAATGGGTGGCCACAGAATGGATTCAACCAAACTGCCTCAAATTAACTCTCACACTCACGAACCCAATCTTTTCTTCTGCACCACCACTGTAGGCATGTCCATTCAAATTATATCCTAGCGTTTTGTTTTTTTTACACAATGCACTGATCCTTTAGGCAATATTTGGAGCTGAGTTTTTCAGAAGCATTAAAATAAAAGACATTTCAAAAGTCTGCTGTACAAATCTATTTTCGGATATTTTAAGTTGGCTTCGGTTTTGGAAGAATCATAGTTTTACTCCATTAAAGGCCCTTCTTGTTTTGCATACCTACAATAACCTACAACTGCATCTGGAACGCACACTGTGCTGTTTAGCAATTCCACTACAACTGGTTTTGAGCTCTCATTGTCCCAGGTAAGGTCCCTGTATTTATGGATGTCACTGGAAGCCTAAGAAGGAAAAGTAATCCCACACAGGTTATTTAGCCGGAGATGAACAATGAACAATGGACAAGAGCCGTGCTGCTGTTAGCACAGCCAGGTTACTTGTGTGTACACTTAAGACTGTAGATAAAATGTGTCCAGAAACAGCACAATCCTGGCTCTGCAGTAACACCATTTCTGCATAGCAAAGTTGTAACAGCTTGGAAGAAATGAGGTAACTAAAGATTCTTACTCCAGTTTTCAAACGCCTGTTTTTAAACTGAACCGAAGTCGAAAAGAAAGACCCGAGCAAGGCGTTCAAACCCGAGAACGCCCCAGCAGAACGCGTCCAGTTATGCTAATACACAGTACACGCATTTTCCGCTCTCGGCTCAGAAGATCAAAGTAACAGAGAGGATCGGGAGGCCCCGCTGGAAGCACGGCAGGGACAGCGCTGCCAGCAGCGACGCGGAGCCCCAAGGAGGCCGGGCCAGCGGAGCCGCCGCCGGCAACCCCCCGCCGCGGCCAGGGCTCCGCGCCAGTGCCGCTGGGTGCCCGTTGCTCATCCCGCCCACCGGCTGCCACGGCGCTGACCCCAGCCGCGGGGCACACCCGCCCGGGCCTCGCATCACCCCCGGAGTACGGCCCCTGCCCCGGGCTCGGCCCTGGGGCTGACAGGCGGCGGCCACGACACACCTCCCCTCGCACCCGGCCCGCCGTGGCGAGCCGCAGACACCCCCAACCCACCTGCGGCCCGCTCCCTGCCTCTCCTCTCCCGTCACGGCGGCAGCCCCCGCCCGGGCGATCCAACCGCGCAGGGCTCCGCAGTGAGCTGCAGCCCGCAGGTACGAGGTGGCCGGTTCCTTCCCCCTTCCTTCTGGGCCCTGTCAGGGGGCGAGCGGCCGCCATCCCCCGCGCTGCTTTCCCTCACGGCCCGGTCGGCGCGCCCGGAGCGGAGCCGCCGCCGCGAGCAGCCGGCGCCGATCCAGGCGCCTTGCACCGAGGAAGGGAGAGCCGGAAGGGACAGCCGCTCTGTCCCGCGTTCCCAGCCACGTCCCCTGTGGCTCGCCAGCCCAGCGCCGCTCGTACCTGTGTCAGTCCCTCCCGCCGGCTCACCCCAAGCTCTTGCCCCGCTCGGCGCCTTTCGTTTCGTTCCTCATCTAAAATGGCGGCCTCACACTCAGCGAGACATTTATCCTCCGCCTATCGACCTCTCGGCGCTCAGCTCCTTCCCTTTCGCTTGTCTCTCCTTCTCTTCCCGTCCTCCTCCTATTCCTCCTCCTCCCCCCCGCCTCCAGGCCTGACCGCAGAGCACCGAGCTGCCGATTGAACCCGCTCCTCACAGTCCCGCCGCGGGCAGCCATTTGGGAGCGGCTGAGGCGCTGCGGCTGCCCCCGCCCGGCAGCGGAGGGAGGCGAGGGGAGGCGCTCCCGCCGCCTCTCCTCCTCCATCCCCTCCGGGGGTGAGGGGTGAGATCTGCGCTGGGGAAGCTGGAGCGGGCCCCGCCGCCTCCCCTGAGCCCCGCGCCCCACGCTCAGCCCTGCCCAGGGTAAGCGTCGAGGTTGTGTGAGGATTAATGAAGCGGGGGCCTCGTCCGCTTCCAGAGCAGCGCTTGTGAGTCTTACCTGTGCCAAAGCAAAGCCTGGTTGTGCAGGGAGCAGGCAGAAATTGCCAAGGGGCGGTACGTGCCGGGAGGGGAGGGGTGTGAGCTGCTGGGGAGACAGAAAACACACAGCGTGCAAGCTCTGTGCCTGCAGGAGACGGGGAGCCGCTGTGGGACAGCAATCCTCTGTGTACAGCCTGGCCAGGCTCCACCTGGGAGGCAGGTGCGGAAGAGCCCTGCTGTCCGTACCGCAAACCGGGCTCCGGGAGCTCAGGCTTAACGCACAGCACTGCATATTCACTGCTAAACAGGTAATACATCACCCCAAAACGGAGCTTCCAAGGGCAGCCGTTGCAGAGTAAAACATCTCCCCTAGAACTGCTTTTTTAAAGCGCATACATGCTTGCGTTTACAGTCATGTAAGTTATATTAATTGTTAATTAAATAAGCACTTCTCTGAAAAGAGCCTCAAACAAAATTCTCACAGCCTTATTTGGGATTTTTCTACAGAAGAAGTTTTATTCTGCTATAAACCAAGGCTTGAGTTCAGCTTAAGTCACATGAACCTCACAGAGGCAAGGAGAAAGAGCAGTGCTGTCTCTCCTAAGCACCAAATAGGAGAAAACACAACCCATGTAAAGTATGTAGCTCCTGGTGCCCTCCAGGAAGAGGTGTGGTTGCCAAGTAATAGCAGATTGGATTGGGGATGGCAAGCAGGAGCTCCAGAAGGCTGAAACAGAAATTTCCATGTCTCTATAGGGTTGAGTACACCATTCCCATATGTTCTAGAAGTTATTCCGATGTAATAATGCTCCCAATTTAGAGGATAATTGCTAAAAGACAAATTTAACTATAATTTTTGTAGCACTTTGTTTACAAGACAAAGCACATGGAGATTTCAACCTTTCTAGTAGGAAAATCACTCTTTTTCTCATCCTCATTGCCATGGGCTCATATCTACCAGAAAAGCAAATCCAAACCAAGGACAACATTTTAAAGTGTGAATCATTCTTTTCACATTCTTACAGAGCAGCTTTTCTCTTAAATGGTCACATTTAAAATGAAGGAGTCCTCTGATGCACAGGCACAGTTTACATGACATTAACAGCAGTCGTATCTCTGTATCCGACTGCAAGAGTTGGCCTTGGAGAAACAAACTCAAAGCACTGTGTACAATAAATATTAACACAGATTAAGACTAAGCATATCCATGTAGCATGGTAGACAAATAGAGATTTGCAAAATATGCAAAAAGAGTTTAAAATATTTTAATATAAAATACAAATAAGAATATGCCATGAGACACTTAAAAGGGAAAGAAGAGAGGGATAACCACTACAAGAAGAGGTGATTTTGACAGAAGACCTTTCATAAAGTTTTAAACTTCTTCTTTAAAAGAGTAGAAAGATGAAGGATTGTAATGGAGCAAATGAAGAGGGATTCAGAGGAAAGCAAGCCATGTAACACATGCAAAAGGAATATAATCGTTACAAGAAAGAAAAAGCAAACAAGAAAACATTCTTCCCAAGGTTTATCTGTTTATGTTTAGTGGTTAGGTTTGCATGTTTAACATGTGAGTGTCCAGGTATAAGACTTTAATTGGCGTGGGCATATAATAAAATCTTACATTTTCATAATCTGAAGTGGTTTCAACCTCTATAAAAAGCAGCCAGAGGAGTGATTTGAAGAATGAGAGCTAGGGTTCAGGGTGGGCTGAGTTAGTGACAGTAGCTATTAACTTGAGACACTAGGCAAATCTGTGGAGTGGTTGTAGACTCAGGAAATCCCTTTCATGCAGCGGGTATGTCAGAGGCAAAGCTATCTCAGCTTCACAGACTTGAGTTTCCTCACAGTTAAGAGTGGGGTGGATAATTCTGAGTGACTGTCTTTGAGAACAGTTTTAATGCTGACTGCTGGAAAGCAGCACGTAGACCATAACCTGTTACTAATTTGTTGTGGTTCAGTTTACTATGTGCAATATTCACGTACTCCCAATCTACTTCACTGTGATTACTTGGGGAGTCTCAAAAAATATAAAATGTTTTAAGTGACATTGTGTAACCTTCATTGTAGCTTTAGCACATGAAATACCTATAAGCCTCAGAAGGAGTAGCAAGCATTAGTGTAATGCTGACGGGGAAAAGGAAGAAATATATATACACACACTTTACTACAGAATTTGGGGTCTCAAATCTTACTCCCTTACTCTTCAAGCCAAGGATTTCTATAAGACAAACTTTGCCATTTCATCCAAGGTTATTCAGTCCGAGCCACACTGTACTGCTGCAAGTTTTTTTATACATATATATATGCTGTAAAGTATTCTCTTGTTACCCCATTAGAGTTTTTTGTTTGCTGGTTTTCAATAAAACTTTGCTTAGGAAAAGCTGAAGTCACATTAGACACAAAAGAGTTGCAGCATGCAGAGACCAGGAAGAAAGTGGCCTTGAGCAAATCAAGCAGTAGCAACCTGAAAAAGAAGCACTCCAAATAAGGAGCAACTTATTTGTGTGATGATGCATAAACTATTTATATTGTGTAGTTCAGCTGAAAGACTTTATTATTTCCCCATGTCACTGAAGTGATCAAAGAAGAGGGGTGGGAATGTAATTTATAGTTTGTTTGGATTTTTTCATGCATTCTCAAATTCAAATTGCATACATTACTTTACAACAATAGGATATCTTACATATGAAGCTCTTAAAGCAGCAAACTTGTTTGGTGGAATGGAAACCATAGCACAGTCTGTTCACATTAATTACTTTTGTTGTTTTATCCTGAACAAACTCTTAACTCTTTATTTTATCCATATCCAACTAAATGTGGGTGGTATTGGGCTGGCTACAGTGTGTACCTTTCTCCACTCTCTTCAGCCAAATAGTGAAGCTAAACCTTGGGAGTCTCTCTCTTCCTTATGAAAATAACACCCAATTTCCTGTAGGTACAATGCAAAAGACACCTCCTTCCAACAGCTTCAGTCATTATCATCAGTGCTAGATTAAGCACGTAGTGACTTCATTACTTCCCTGGAAAGGCTGGCTTCTGGAAGCAGATCCATTTAAGCAATTCCTGCACTCAGAAAACTCGGGGGAAGGCAGTCAGGCTGAAACAGGGCTGCGTGAGCTTGAGTATCTGAAGGTTTTAACCCCCAAGGATTTCCTTCTTTGTCTCAGTACGATACAGAACAGACTGCCTGGTACAAACCTCAGAGATGCTGAAGCATAATGGAAGAACAGCATATATTTTTAAGTACACTTTGGTTTATTTACTGCCAGGGTCAAGCTAACTTAAGTGCTTTAATACAGTTACAATAGCTGTTATGCAAAGTGTCTTTTGTCATGTTTTACACATGCACACACCTCGTGAGACACACTGCCTGAGGTAAATATATTTTGCCATAGGTGCCTCCACAGTACTGCAACAAGTTTTGCCTTATTGTTGACCATTCAATTCTGTATATAAATCTAAATTAGTATCTTTCATTTTTCCTTTCTTTTGTCTTTTTTTACCGCTTTAACGCTTTCATTTAAGAAACACATGTAAAAAACCATACACAATTCCTTGTAATGTCAAGGACATTATCCTATGCAGGTCTGTGCATCCTTCCAAAATCAAGCCCATCTCTAATACTATAATCCATCTGTTAGGCAGTCATACTTACATGGTTCTTGGGTTGTCCTTATACAAACTTAACAATAAAAATATTTAATAAAAACATCAATTGCAATAGATTTTGAAAACAAGTTTCTGTGGGAACACTTCAGAGTAAAATTGAAACAGATTTTCATTAAGCCTTGCAGTAATAAATAAATTATTCTGAGAGCAGTACATGATAATCTTTTACTGAAAAAATTGAAGTTATGTTTGCCTTAATTCACTGATACTCGCATATGAAGCATTCTTAAAATTGTCAACAAACTCTGTACCAGTTTTCAGTCCTCCATATGCTCCTGCTGTAATTTATGGTATTATAGATATCCAGTGTCTCTGGGCTTGTTATATGAAGTGCAGCAGAGAATTTCTGGTTCTCCAATTTCGCTGCAATGCAGTTTGCTTCTAGGAAAATTCAGAGGCACTGCACTCCCCCATCCAGTTCTCTCAGACTCATCTCCAGCCGGGGGGGGGGTTCAGTTGCTTTCCTGAATTTTAGATCTTCATTTGCAGTACTTATTACCAAGATCTCATTTGTGACACATAAGAACGCTGGTCCTAACTTTAAAACCCAAAATGAAAGCAGAGGTCCTGCTAACAGACAGTTGTCCCTGCTCAGCCCATGTTCACTGACTCATTTACTTCTATACACCTTGGCTGCCAAAAAATACAATGAAACAAAGTATCACCAAAGCCATGTGGTTTCCAAAGGATCTCAGTTAAATGGTTAAAAGGGATGCCAGTTAATGGTGACACATATAGTTGTATTTTATTAGGTGACCATAGCTGTGCTTTTCCCCTGTAGATGGAAATATATTGTAGGGATAGCAATTAGATTCCCCATGCAAAGGTCAAGAATCAGAGTAACATTCCTTTCATCACAGACACAACTTGGGAAGCCTCAAAGAGGAGCATAAGACAAATATAGTAAGTTAGTGTACCACCATATACTGTGAATATCAAAGCATTAAAATCATTTTAGAATAACAATTTATAGATTTAAAGTGATCTGAGATTTGCTGCCTGCACAGTGAATAAATTCACAGTCTGAATAAACATTATTTGAGCTCAAACAAGGCAAAAAAAATAACAAAATCTAGGCTTTCATGTGTGGGTATTTGAACAGTCATTCCTCCTTCATAGACAATAAATGCAGCACTTTGATTTACACATGTATTCTATTTTTGAAACCCAACCAAACTGGTTTATTTGGTTTATTTTGACTTTCTGAAAAAGTCTAACCACAATAAAATCTATTCAGAGCTAGGTACTAGAGTTTAAAAGTAACAATGCATAAACAGCTCTTTCCTGACAAACATTCTTAGAACCAGCCGGAATGTATAATTGCTCAGCTGCAGAAGGGTTATTACAGCTGATACAGAGCTACATAAAGAGGCTGATCATCTGATCTGGCATGACCTCAAGCTGTGCATCGGTTTTCCTGGGCATGGACAATTTCTAGGGTGTAGAACTGCACTGCATTCGATGCTGGGTTTCTCTAGAAGTTACTAATTGTAATAATGCACATTAGGATGACAGCAAAATTCCATTTTTCAATGAAGAATCACAAGTATTGATAGAGTGAAAGAGAAAGAGGGGTGGATGTGCACGTATGCATCTGATTATATCAGAGTGCGTGTGTATGTTCAAAACACATGGAAGGATGATAGGCAACAAAAGGTAAAATTATGAACTTTATCTTTTTATAAATCCCATTTGTTGTGATTCCTCATACAAAAGCCAGACTTTCTGATGAGAACCTATTCTTGTCATATGTATCATGTGCAGAGACACTCCCTTGTGCTCTTTTTGACTCCACTCCTAGCTTTTATCAAAGGTAGATCCTAAGAGACAAGGGAATCAAAAGCAGTCTAGCCAGCATATCTATCCAAGCTGCTCTCCAGCACTGCCATTCCCAGGTAAAGCCAGACTAATCAGAATATAGGTACAAGGGTATAAATACCTGGCATCATTCTAAATACCTGGCATCGTTCAAAGGTTCAGTGTATCTAGCAAGAAGACGAAAGTCCATTTTAACCATGTGCATACATTCGTGTACTAACAGAACTCTTACTTACTGGATTCTGTTATAAAAAGCTCTGCAAAGGAAAAAAAAAAAAAAAAGGATTTGGCTTAGCACAAGCCTATTTATCCATTGTCTTTCAAGTTCATCTCAAACAGATAAACAAAGATAGGTGATCAAAGGCATACATTACCTTTGGCAATAGACCCCTGGTTTAGCTAGCCTTTGATACTTTGTACCTCGGTGTCACATACAGCAAGCTGTGCTTGGAAGGGTATGACAAGGGTATTACAACATTATGTTGTAAGCAGGTAAGTTCAGAAACGGTCACGAAAATAGGACAACAATGACAAGAGTTTTGTTATTAAGCTGATGAAGCTCAGTAGCTGTACAAGTATAAGTTCATATCAGAACTGTCTAAAGCGTGCAGGGTTTCAGAGCTACACTAAGGGCACTGGTGAAAATGTCAGTGTATGCTAATATGCCCCATCTCTGTTCCAGGTACCAGCATTATTGTTGTCAGCAGCAAAACACAGCAGTAGGTTTCTCCATGTGGAGCTCTGGAAGATGATGCACCAGTGGAGGTTTGTGATTAAATAAATTGCATATGTATATGGCTAATTTAGTCTGCAATTATAAAAGGGGGGGGTGCTTTTGTCAGATGTTTCATGTCATTTGTTGAGGCTTTTGTGTTGTTGTTACAAATTCATTTCTCTTAGATTAGACAGTGGTGAGATTGATTCTATCCATCAGGATATCATTTTTCTCCAATGGAAATGTCAGCTTTATTCTGTTTAAAACTTCGAATACAAAATGATGTTCATTTTGGTCTTGTTTTCGTAAGTGCTTTTTTATTTTCTTTTTTTAAAATTTCTTTCTGCAAGATAATAAAACCCCAAAACAATGCTATGAGCAAAACAACTCAATTATTTCAACAGTAATTAGCAAAGACATCAGGTCAAAGGAATGCAAACATACAAGTCTCTTGCTATGCCTCACTGCAAAACTGTGGTGTGCTGCGTTAGGAGATTTGTTAAATCTTTCAGCAATTGCAGGGAAATAAGTATCAACATGTCTGCTTGTACCCAAGTATTTTTAATACTTTCAAGATGTATATCTAATATTCAGATGTATTCAGATTAATTTATTCAGACATTCCTTAAGTTCAACCTTATTTCTGGTGGAGACAGAAGCTTTCTATTAGCAACAGATTATGTAAGCCTTCCTTTTGCATTTCACCTACATGGAACAGTGACATAAGGAATTAGGTAACTGCTAAAACATTATTGCTGAGACATCACTTTTAGTTGATAGGCAGGCCAAAATTTAAAAAAGTATCTTTTGGGGGGCACTAAAGGCCTGTTTTTCATGAAGTAAGCGTTGCTGACATCTTTGTGAGTTACAGAAAGCTGATTCTATGTTCACACACTAACATTCAGACAGGCAAAGAAAAAGAAAAAGGAAAAGGAAAAGGAAAAGGAAAAAAAAAAAGGTTGTTTTTTTTTTTCCCCTAACACACATAAAGTTGAATGGAGGGCAAGGAATAGCAAATGCTTGTTACTGGTATATAATATGCATTGACTTAGAATTCCAACTTGGGGGTTGATGACTTCAGCATACGACTATTTTAATTCTTTTATATAAGCCATGCTATTACCTTAATTCTAAGCGAAGTATTACTTGCAGTATTATAGTGTCAGTGGTGCTTTTTGATGGTTCTATAACTGAAGTAAAGTTAAATCCTCCCTGAGGCAGGTTGGGTCAGAGTCCAAAGCATTATTGCTATCTGAGGAGGATCAATTGCTGAGACATCTCCCCAGGACATACTTGACAGATACACCTCTTTTAAGACTGTCTCTTGAAAATAAGTTTAGGTGGATTCTTTTCCTCCTCCTATAAAGGCCATATGGTGAGTAAGAAAGAGTATGACCTTATGTTTAGAGCAAGGTGTCCCTGCCCATGGCAGGGGGGTTGGAACTTGATGATCTTAAGGTCCTTTCCAACCCTAACTATTTTATGATTCTGTGATTCTATGATTCTATGTTGGCACATGCAGTCTTCAGATACTTCCATCAAGCGCTCTGGGTAAATTATCTGACTTTTTGTAGTTTTCAGGATCACAGGCTTCAGAATTAGCTATTTCAAGTAAATATTTGGGTGAAACATTCAGCACAGAGCAACCAAATTATTTCCCCAAGAAATGGATTTTGATTTATTGAGTTTTCAAGTAGGGTCATGCTCTTAGCTGACAAGAATGCAGGCAAGATGCTTTGCGTTTCCCCCACCCCAGCCTTCAGCTAGCATTTGATAACATACAGTCAACTATGCTTATTCTTAAGAATGTACTGGTGCTTATAGACAGGGGTTTTTTTTTGCAGATTTTTATAAGCAACTTCCCAGAATACCTGAAATACAGGATATCCTATATATTATTATAAATTAAATCTATTCTAGATTAATATTTCACACCTGCTTTGTTTATATCTAGGAGAGTTCAGAATTTCCATTGAAACCAAAGGTCTAACCTCAGATTTTAGTGCTATCATAGCAAAGCATATGACTGAGGGTGGTTACTGTAACAACTTCATGTATAATGACTACACTTTGCCCTTTAACTTCTACAATTGTGTTTTTCTGCCCATCTTCATATGCCTCAGAGAGATGGTCAGAAGGCAAGATTTAGCACTGAATTTTGAGATGGTGGAGGGAAAAACCCAAAACCATGAAACAAAAGACTAGAGGCAAGCTAAACAGAACCAGGAACACATGAGGGTTAAAATAGTAATAAGAAAATCATTAGCTTTCAGTATCAGTGGACAGGATTTACTAAATTTAGTAAGCTCCTTATTAGTAAGTTGATTATGAGAAAGAAAAATCAGCTCTTCCAGATGCACCTGGCATTCCACTTTGCTTCCAGGTTCTCTCCAAGGTGGGCCATTACTTTTAAATGCACAAATATGTAAAATCATGTGCCAAGCCTTAGCGCAATTAAGTTTTCATTTGAACACACCCTGGAGCAGTCTACAGTATTTAAGCGTTATCAATGCAAAGCTTTAGCATCATGCACCACCATCAGTGTAACAGTTTGTCCTGAAGTATTCAAAGTGGTAAAATCTTATATTACAGTATAGCTCAGCTCCTCTGGTACTTGGAGGGGAGTGAGTGTTACCACAGGAAAATCTAAGTTAAAGACTTATTGTATGTATGTGTTAGCCAATATTTTATATTTAAACCACGAGATTTAAGAAGCTTCCATCTATCAAAAGGAGTGAGGGCAGCTAGCTCATGTATTTGAAAACCACAATGAAATCTCCCATTTAAGTGACCAAAAGATACAACAGGCCTGTTCAGGAAGAATTTCCACTTCTGTAGCAATCCTAGGAAGTCTTTTGAGTATGAGTAAGAACAAGGATCTCTTCTCATATTTGACACAATACAGTTCATATAAAATAATAGTTCATGTATTTATTTAATACAGGTTATGTAATTCACTTGAGTATTTAACTTAAACATGTGTAAAATCCTAGTTTCTCTTTAGGATAGGAAATAGACTCAAGTTATTAGAAATCTGCTGGTTACTTTTCCTAGTAGCTTTTTGTTGCTTGTTTTTGTAGGAAGTTAAGAATTCTCTGAGGAAAGCTCCAAGATATTTGTGTAGCTTTGTGAGCAATGGAAAGAATTTACAACAAAATATGCTACTGCTGTACAGTGATATAGAACAAGAAATAGTCAGGTAAGGATCTCTGAGACTCCCTTTTATAGAATAGCTTTAACTAAAGGAAAGTGGAACTGCTGTAGAACAACTTCGGTTTGAGGTGATGCTTGCCAAGGAAGCCTACCTTGGAATTTGGCAAAAAGCCATATGTTCTAATTACCTTTACTTTGCAATTTGAGTTCTTGGGAAGAAAGTGCTGCTTGGAAGCAGCTAATAGCATAGAATTCAGTAATCCTGAGTAAACTCAATTGTTCTGCTGGGCCAGAAACTAAGCAGTCCTTCAAAAAATTAGAACATAAATAATGTTCTACAAAAGAAGACTTGCCAAGGATCTAAACTGCTGGTAGCCGAAGTTGAGCAGTATTACAAATAATCTTTTATGTAGATTATCAAACAATATTTTCCTTATGAAAATAGGTCATTTTCACATTGAATACGTCATTCCTCAGTCAAGGTAAGGAAAGAACAGCAGTTTCAAGAAAACTTTTATCATACAAGAGAATATAGAATTATTCTTTCACAATAACAATGCAGTAGAAAACTTTCAAAGGAAGAATGGTATTTATATGGTTATTAACAGGGTTATTTACTACAAGGCATAAGACTTCATTAGCATTTTAGAATAGATTAATGTCATTATGAGTATCAGTGTGTCATACTGAAGCAGCTGTTGATATGCTATACAGTTGTTTTCAGTTACATGAGCATCTATCTTCAGTCTAAACTGCTTTATTTTTAAGGTTAACCTGTACTTTTAGTCTGATTTCCCATTGATACTACAAGAGTAAACAACCAGCAAAAAGGCTCCTGTTATCAGGCAGCCTCAATCACTCTCTGCTTTCAGACATTGCTCTCTTCCCCCGCCTTCACTGCTGCCAAAGTTGTTGCATCACCTGCACTGCATTAGGTATATGCCACCCAGGATGCTTTCCCACTGATAATGCCAGCTGTATTTAGCTGTTGATATTGAAGAGAGCTTTTCAATTCAGAGAAGCTTTAGAATTAGACTAAAAAGTTTTTAAAGGTTATTCTTACCAGAATTGGATACTATCAGACAGATTGAACTGAGTCAGCCTTTATATTTCATTAGAGAGCTTTTCATTTTTTAGCTTAATTTCCTGCCATAAGCTCTCACTTCCAGCAGAAGTAGTATGAGTACCAACCTGCATAACTATCACAGATGATGTGCTCAAAGCAAGTCACAGGGCTGGTACCATGGACAAGCAGTTCATGGTTTTTGTCTACAGTTAAAGCTTCACAGTGCATCAGAGCATTTGTCACGTGGAGAAAAACTGTGGATTTAGTTAAGTTCTTAAACCTCAGGTTTTTCCTTTGTGAAGAAAAAGTAGGAGCAGTGCTATGCTTCAGGGCTTAAGTGCCATTGCAGAATACATGTAACAGTCTAATTACATACTGCTGACAAAAGGACAGTCCCTTTTTCCCCTCTCAGACCCAGCTGCACGCTTCTTCCCTTCTCTCACACTGGATCTAGCAGTCATGACCCTGCATAGTGAGTCAGATTTTGTGTTCTCATGACTAATTTCCCAATCCCAGCACTTTTTGTTTAACACAAGAGACGGAGCAGGAAGACCCAACTGGTGGATGAGATGTGCAGAGAATGGAATAACAGCCTGCAGATCAGTTACTTGGTTTGTGAACGTGCAGCCTGGCTCTGTGACCTGACTCACAAACTCTGCGATCCCAGAAAGAGTATTTTTTGCCATATGCAAAGAGTATCTCAAAAGCTATACCTTCTTACTCATCTGTTCGTCACACTGACAGAAGCAGCAATATCATTATATACAATCACAGCTTAAGTTGCTAAATTAGGGGGTTTTGTCTATTATTCATAAATTCCACCTATGTTACAATTAACTCACCTCTTACACTATAGGTATTGTCTGATTTGAAAAAAGCCCATTTGACTTCTTCAGAAGGGGTATTAAAAAACAATAGGAGTAAACAGGAAGGGTCCAAAGTTTGCTGATAAACACAGGCTTACAAGATGCAAGAGACTTAAAACATACACAGTGAAAAAGTGCAGTATTAGATTGTGAAATAGTAGATTAAATATTATGCAAACGAATGCAAAGCAACAGTCTAGGAAAAGAAAAGACAGCCTCCATCACAGGTAAACAAGGGTTCAGGTTTAGCTTTTGTCACGCAGACAGAGAGATGTGAGATTTATTGTAACTCCCTAAAAATGCCAGCCCAGTGCTCAGGAGTGGTTAAGACAAGAAACAGTGTGAGGAATTTAGGATGAGAGCTGAGAACAAAACAGAGGAAAGTACTTAGTGCTTTGTGTAAGTTCAGGATGTCCCCACATTTTGCATACAGCATGCAGATCTGTTCCAGTGCCAGAACATATGGTTAATAAAATTAAGAGGAACAGAAAAGGGCAGCAGGGATTTTAAGAGATAGAAACCAGATTCTCCATAAGTGACTAACTAGATTAGGACTCTTCAGCTTTGAAAATAAAAGGATGACAGAGAAAAGTTATTTTTAAGGCAAGTACCTCTCATAAGCCTATGGAGTTCTGTTGTAGGGACTAAACAGATAGATTTGAATGAGAATTAAGCAAACTCAGAGAGTGGGTACTTGGGTGTGTATTTACAGGCATTTCCTATGCCAGGTTCTCACAGCACTTCACAAACCACAGCAAATCCAGTGACAGATGATTAGGAAGAGTGCTGTGAACAAGCAAG